TGACATTGTAGTCGTTTTCAATGTATTTTTGTTTGCTGAATACGATGCCGGGTCCCAAAATTGCTTATTACATCAGGATTTTGAGAAACCCAAAAAACGTGTTTTTTTGTCAAAACCTCTACTTTTTTTGACTTAAAGTTAGTTAAGTTCTAAATACGATTTTACTAATTCCAAGCAATTATTTTGTCTGGAAATCAGGGAAAAACGTAATTAAATTTTGGTGGCAACCCTGCAGTGATATATTTATTAATTTGTAGTATGGGAAACGTGCATAAGCAATGGTGTTTTAGTTGTTTGAAAGTATGGCTCAGAGCCATACTTATAACGAAAATGAATAAGTAAACTAAAATGTCGACTCAAAGACAGCAGGTTCCTGTAGAAGGGCAAGAGTGCAGCAATTGACTGGCTATCAGAGTGGGATTTGAGTTATCGGAATGGAAGCAAGTTGACACGTTGGATGTTCTCGGGACACCCGATGCGTAAGAGTGGAAACCAAAATAATTGCCTCCAGTGGAATATAAATGATAGCATAAGATTGTGGAGCGTCCGAACGAATCTAAAAGAAAGAGAGAGAGAGAGAGAGAGAGAAAAGAAAAACAAGGGTAGGTACCCTCCCCCTCCCCCCCCCCTCTGCCCCAACATCTCCAATTGTCTTCGTATTGGTCTCGCTCTTTTGAATATACATAAGTGTCTTGTGTGTGTGTAGTAAGAGACGCCATGCCAGGCGGCTACTTGGTACGCGAGACGTACGCGCACGTAATTGCGTGCCCGTCCTGAAATTATTCATCTCCCCGGCTACCACGGCCTGATCTTGACCAGCACCAGCACCGGCCAGCGCAGAGGTATGATAATGCATAGAAGTGCCTGTCATTATTGCTGACCAAGCACACGGTACATCCTCTCTTTTATGCTGTACGCAGATTACAGCACCTCGATCAGGGTCCCCCTGCTTTTCTTTCTTTTTTTTTTTTTTTTTTTTTTTTTTAAAGATACGTGCGCTGTTGTGCGAGCGCAACTACTCGCCACAGCTGCCCGCATGTGTGAGAATCACAGAATTGCTTAAAAGGGACTAATTGTTTTTTCGCGTTATCCCCAACACATCCCATCTGCATGTAATCCTCCGAAGAGGGTTTATTTTTTCTCCTTTTTTTTTACCTGCGATGTTAAATACTTTTCTCAATATTTACATATAAGTAGTTTGCTAAGGTCCAAACTGTACACCTTGAGGATAATTATACCCTTCCCAATATATATACTGAAAGAGGTGTAAATAATTTCATTTAAAAGTATCAAAAATATATTAATAATACTAAAATGTTTGATAACTTTCAAAATTAATAATTATTCCTACTAACTACTAACTTGTAACCCTACTTACTACTATACTAATTAGTTACCAAGAAAATTACTTTTGTTTTTCCCGGAACTTTTTCTCTATTTTCAGATAGAATTTTCATCCCATAAAACGATTCTACACAAAGTTTAAAAAAATCAACAACACTTCTGCAATTGTATTATAGCAAAAAAAAAATTATTTCAAAGATTTCTTTTTCTTTTTCTTTTAACTTCAACTAATAATTTTCATTGTAACTATTAATTAGTTATTATTAATATATTAATAAGATATACTAATGTTGTTACATCATAATATATCTTACTAATGATATACTACTGCAGGCTTCAGGATGCAAATTCAATTATTTCTAAAAATTGCAATTATTAGTAACCTTTACAAAATCCAATTATTATCAATTATTTAATTATTCAATTATTCAATCATTCAATTATTAACTGAAATTAATTTTTAAATCAATTTTTATTAAAATATTATATTATTTCTGAATATAATTGAATTCCCGCAAAGAATTTCACTAATTATAAAGATAATTGAAATTTTAACATATTTTTTTAATAAATTTTTTGAAAATATTTGAATTTCTACAAGGAATTTTATAAAAATTCCTGAATATATTTATTTATTTATTTATTTAGTAAATGTATACGGGCTTACAAAAAATTATATTTAAAATATAATTGAAATCCGGCGAAGAATTTTATCAAAAAATTTTTAAATAATTGAATTCTTACGACAAATTTTAATAACATTTTAAGGAATAATTACAATTTTCAATGAATTCGATTAACATTGTATTAAAAAATAATTAAAATTCTGCAATGAATTTTATTATTTATGAAAATAATTGAATTATTGCGAAGAATTTTATTAAAATTTTTAAAAATAATTGAATTTCTGTGAAAAATTTCGTTATTTTTGAAAATAATTTAATTCTTCATAAGAATTTTATAAACATTGTTTTAAATAATTAATTTTTTCGAAAGATAATAAATATTATGAAAATTTTATTTTAAATAATTGAATTCTTGTGGTAAACTTTATTTCTGAAAAAATTGAATTCTTCGACTAATTTATTTAAAATAGTATTAAAAATAATTGAAATTCCTAAAAAGCATTTTATTATTTATGAAAATAATTAAATTCTTGCTTGGAATTTTATCAAACACTTTTTTAAAAAATTGAATTTCTATGAAAAATGTTATATTATTAGTGAAAGTAATTAAAGTATTGTGAATAAATTATTAAATTAAGAAAATTTTTCGAAAATAATGGAAATTTTGCAATGAATTTTATTAAAATCTTTGAAAATAATTGAAATTTTGCCATGAATTTTATTAAAATTTTGGAATACAATTGGTTATTATTACTATTGAAAATAATTGAATTCTTGTTATGTATATTGTTATTTGTGAAAATAATTGAATTTGCAAATGAATTTTATTAAAAGTCCTGAAAATAATTGAATTTTGACGATGAATTTTGCTATTTACAAAGATATAATTGAAATGTTGAGAAGAATTTTTTTTTTAAATTTATGAAACTAATTGAAATTCTGGAAAGAATTCTATTAATTTTGAAATTAATTGAAATCTTGTAATGAATATTGTTATTTATGAAAATAATTGAATTTTACAATTAATTTCATAAAAATTCCTGAATTCGATTAAAATTCTATTAAAAATAATTGAAATTCTGCATTGAGTTTTATTATATATGAAAATAATTAAATTCTTGCGAAGAATTTTATAAAAAAAAAGTTGCAAACAGTTAATTTTTTTCGAAATAATTTATGCAAAAATTAAATTAAATTCTATTTCTAATAATTGAATTCCTGCGAAATTTTCATAGTTTTAGAAAATAATTGAATATTCTTGTAGAACTTTGTCAAAATTTTTGTTTAATAATTGATTTTTTCAGAAATTTTATTAAAATACCTAATAGAATATTAAAAATAATTGAATTAAGAACAATTTTTAAAAATAATTGTAATTTTCTCATGAATTTTATTTAAATTTTTGAAAATAATTAAATTTTGCAATTAATTTTTGCAATGAATTCCTGAAAATAATTGAATTTTGCTATTCATTCATAAAGGTAATTGAAATGTTGGCAACATTTTCTTTCTAGTTGTTTTGAAAATAATTGAATTTCTGCGAAGAATTTTATTAATTTTGAAAATAATTGTAGTATATGAAACTACCATTGCCATCAAGCGCATCTCGTCAAAATGTCAATTATCTTTATAAATAATAAAATTCTTCTCCGAAATTCAATTATTTTCAAAAAAATTTAATATATTTCTTGTCAAAATTTCAATCATTTTCAACAATTTTCCTCACATCAATTATTTTTAATATCGACTATTTCAATAAAATTTTCAAAAAAAAATTCAATTATATAAACAAAATTTTAGTAAAGGTTTTAGGTACTGTCTGACTAAAATTTCTTTTTTTACTTAAACATAAATATTTTTTTATCTAAACTTTATTTAGTATTTACTGTCTGACTGAAATGACTTTTTCTACTGAAACATACATTTTTTAATCTAAACTTATTTTTAACTGATATCCACAGTCTGACTAAAATGACTTTTTCTACTTAAACATAAATAATTTTTTATTTTGAACTTTTTTCAGTATTTACTGTCTGACTAAAATGACTTTTTCTACTTAAACATAAAATTATTTTATTCTAAACTACATTTAGTATATTTACTGTCTGACTAAAATGGCTTTTTCTACTTTAACATTATTTTTTAAATTTAAACTTTATTTGGTATTCGCAGTCTGACTAAATTTGCTTTTTCTACTTAAAAATTAATTTTTGTAATCTAATCTTTATTTAGTATTTACTTTTAGAGTAAAATGACTTTTTCTACTCAAAACATTTTTTCTATATAAACTTTATTTACAATTTACTGTCTGACTAAAATGGTTTTGTCTACTTAAACGTAAAATTTTTCTATTTAATCGTCCTTCACTTGAAGCACGAACTGTCTTACAAAAATGCAATGGCGGTGCCATTCTTTGCCATTGTGTAAGGCTCACAGTTTTTACAAATTTTTCTTAAAAATTGGGAGAAAAAATTTATGATTTTAGGTGTTTTAGAAAATTTTATTAATTTAAAAGAATGAAAATGAGGAAAAAAAGAGGATTAGGTAAAAAAAAGGGGTAAAAACTGCGGTTAGTTAAAAAGGAACGTTTTTGTTAAAAATAAGAAGTGACAGAAAGTGAAGTTACGTGTTTATATATATAAACTCTTGATGAAAAATGAAAAACTCGTTACACACGCTATTGGGAAATATATACTACATGTATATAAATGAAAAAAGTGCGAAGGTCAGGATCCCTAGAAGTTGGATTATTATAGCAGTGTAGAGTGTAAGTAAGAGAGGTGAGCTTACGGGTGGTTATGATCCACGAGAATCGACTGCATGTGGGCTCGAATAATAAGTGGCTTAACGAATGCCGCTTTCGCATGATACCGACCCATTCATAAAAGGGGGTCGCACTTCTTGGGCCCGCTACGCTCCATCGGACAATAAATGACATTGGGACGTGGCATCATGGTACCCACTGCCAATGGCGTAAAAATTCTTATTGTAATAAATTACTTACAAGTAATTAAAAAGAAGAAAACTTTGAACAATTTATAGTTCGTTTATATATACATACACAATATATATCTATATATACGATTCATATTTTACCAAGTCATTGTAGTGAAATAAATCTCCACTAAAAAAAAGGTGAAATTAAATTATTCCATTTTTTACCGAATTTTACTTGTTTAAAAAAATTTTTTTAATGCAAATATTTCGTAATTTATTGCTTTTTTTATAAATTTACTGAAAACTGAATTTATTCCGTAAAAATTGAAAATAATTTAATATTCCACTAATTTAGAAAAATACATCAGTTTCATCTTTTGCCTTTAAAATTTAATACCTATATTTTATGCAAATGTACAGTCTAAAATGAAATTATAAATCGGAGATTTAATTCATTTTTATTTGACACATGTCCGACAATAATGAAAAATAAGTGTTAGAAAATTTGTTTTTTGTTAATTTTCACATTTATGTTGTGATGTTTTTAAAAAATGTATTGAGAGGAATATTTTTTAATTATAGCATCCGAAGTCGGCTGGACACCATGACATTCGTAAAATTGCAGCCAGTTCCGGTTCACAATTCTTCAAAAGATGGTGAGCACATTTTTCAAATTCCTTTTGAGAGCTAAAAAAAAATCAAATTGTTTTTAGTAAATAATTGCCTGGAATTAGTAAAACCGTTTTTAGAACTTAACTAACTTAAAGTCAAAAAAAGTAGAGGATTTTGAAAAAACGCACGTTTTCTAGGTCGTTACCCCCACTTTTCTCAAAACACTGACGAGCTTCTTAATTTTGCGACCTTGCATCGTGTTCAGCGAACAAAAATACATTAAAAACGACTACAATGTAAAAAATAACAAAAAAAAATTTTTTTTTGCGTCTTTCCCCCTACTTGTCTCAAAATCCTCTATTTTTTTGTCTTGCGCATAAGGACCTTAAAGTGTACGTATCAAATTTAAATTTGAAACTTCTTGGAATTCTCTAACATGTCAGATTAAACAGAAAAATTTCCTAAAACTACCAAAAACAGGTTTTTTTGGTGTTTACCCCCACTTTTCTCAAAATCCTGACATACTAGACAATTTTGGGAGTCGGGATCGTATTCATCGAACAAAAATATATTGATAATCATTCTAATGTCAAAAATTAAAAAAAAAATTTTTTTTGGTCCCGACCTCCACTTTTCTGCTAGGCAATTGTAATAAATGCACTAATGGAAAAAAAACTTACTAGCATGATTCAAAGGGCGCATTAAAATTGTCCATGAGAGAATCGAATAAATAATTACTAGAGCGCATGGGATAAAAAACTTCCAAACATTTTGATGATTGTGAACTTTCTCTATAATCTTTATCCAAATTGACTTTTCCAGCTGAAATTAAATCGAAAGAGGATTAAATTTGTACCTTTTTTGCAATTCATTCTCTCTTAAAATTATGAAAAATTTTTTGTGTAATATTGTAAATTGTAAATTAGCAAAAATTGTTAACTAAATTAAATCAGTATTTTTGTTTTCGAATTATTTATTTTAGTCAGTAAAAATCTTATTTTGGAATTGTTGATTAAAAATTGATGAATATTGATGAATATTGATAAATATTGATAAAAATTGATGAAAATCGATGAAATTCGATGAAAATTGATGACAATTGATGAATATTGATCAAAAAATTGATGGATATTGATGAATATTGATAAAAATTGATGAAAATCGATGAAATTCAATGAAAATTGATGACATTTGATGAATATTGATCAAAAAATTGATGGATATTGATGAATATTGATAAAAATTGGTGAAAATCGATGAAATTTGATGAAAATTGATGACAATTGATGGATATTGATGAAAATTGATGGATATTGATGAATATTGATGAAAACTGATGAAAATTGATGAATATTGATAAAAAATCATGAATATTGATGAATGTTGATGAATAATTATGAAAATTAATAAAAATTGATGAAAATTGAAGAAAAATGAGAAAAATTAATGAATGTTGATGAAAATAATGAATATTTATAAAATTAATGAAAATCTATGAAATTCGATAAAAATTAATTAAAATTGATGGCAATTGATGAATATTGATGGATATTGATGAAAATTGATGAAAATTGATGAATATTGATGAAAATTGATGAAAATTGATGAAAATTGATGAAAAGGACAAAAATTACCTAAGAAAATGTTTTTAATGACTTGACGCAAAATAATGTGCATCACACCCATAACGTCCTCCTCAGTGAGTCGATACTTCTCCTCCAAGCAAAATTGAAATGATTTAATGAAATGACCCATTCTGATGATATAGTTGGTTGAGCGTATCACAGCTTCGAAAGTGTTCTCAGGCTCTTTTGGTGGACTAACTAAAAATGCCTGAAGATTCTTTGCCTCCTGTCGATAGGCCGTGTAATTCATTTGGAAATTCAGCCAACCAACTGTGTCGTTTAAATTTAAACATTTCTCTTCAACGTCCGATAATTTTGTATTTAAAAAATTGTCCACATTTTCCGAGACTTTGCCAACTTCCTTCTCGTAATATTCAGCAGTCGTTCTCAATAGATCTAAGCAGAAATTTAATTTTATAGAAAAATTTTAATTAAAAATTTTGATTATTATATTTAACTCTCTGCCTATTTATTTGACCCTCCAATTGGTGGAGTCTATTGGAATTACATTCAAAAATGCTACAGTGTAAATAAGTCAATGTAGGTAGAGGGTTAAATTGAATTGTGAATTTTGAAAAAGGCTCTAGTTTTCAAAATTGATAAAAATTGATGAAAAATGATGAAAATTGGTGAAAATTGATGAATATTGATGAAAATTGATGAAAATTGATGAAAAATGATGAATATTGATGAAAATTGATGAAAATTGATAAATATTGACGAAAATTGATTAAAATTGATTAAAATTGATAAATATTGATGAAAATTGATGAACAATGATAAATATTGATAAAAATTGATAAAAATTGATAAATATTGACGAAAATTGATAAAAATTGATGATAATCGATAAAAAATGATGAATATTGATGAAAATTGAAGAATATTGATGAAAATTGATGAAAATTGATGAAAAATTACCTAAGAGAATGTTTTTAATGACTACTAACGGTAGTTACGCGAAAATGACTTTTACGGTTTTTAAAATTCAACCCTTTTCGAAATTCACGATTGAATTCTAATTTTATAATATTTAGGTATAATTAAAAATTTATATTTAAATTCTAGTTAAAGATTTAATTAAATTAAAATTAATAAATTAAAATAAAAAAATTATTTTACTTATGCATTAAAAGGAGACATTACCTATGGTCTTCTCGTATTTGTATGTAATCGGAGATATCGGTGGAGTAGAAACATTTTCCCGGTATCCTGTTCAAAACTTGTAATTACGTCATTCAACTTTGATATTTTGTGAAAATACTTATATATATGTGCAGATTTATATAGTTCTGTACATTAAATATAAATAATTTTATTTTTTTTTTATTTATTTACTTATTTTGTTTTCAACAAAAAAAAAAAAAATATTTTTCATGAATGCAAAATTGTACCTGAATTTACGTAAGTGTACATTAACTTTAAATCGTAACCACGTGGAATCGTTTCATTTATTGGCACCACTGAGTCGAAATTTAAAGCTGACACGCCAACTAAGAGAGCTTGCAAAAAATGTTAATTTATTTTAGAAGTCGTGTTTTTCAATTATTATTATATTAAAAAAAAATTTTCCTGATGTCAGCAGACATACATTAATTAGAAATAAAGTTGGTATTAGAATTAGAATTGGAGTGTAAATTAGAATTGAAGTTATAATATATAATTACATTTAGAATTACAATTACTATTAGAATTATAATTAGAATAAGAATTTTAATTAGAATTGAAATTGATATCCAACAGATTACAATAAAAATGGATAAAAATTGAAGTAGAAATAATTTACAATAATTGACAACAATTATAATTCAAAATAAAAAATTAAATAGGAATTAGAATTCTTGAAATTGAATTTATGATTTAAATTATGAGGAATTGGAATTAAAATTCGAATTAGAATCCGAATTAAAATTAGGATCAGAATTAGAATTGGAATAGGAATTAGAATTATCGGATTTAGAATTAAAATTATAATGGGAATTAGAAGTAAAATTAGTATTGAAATTAGAATTGAAATTAGAATTAGAATTAGAATTAGAATTAGAATTAGAATTAGAATTAGAATTAGAATTAGAATTAGAATTAGAATTAGAATTAGAATTAGAATTAGAATTAGAATTAGAATTAACATTAGAATAAGAATTACAATTGGAATTGGAAAAAGAGTTTGAATTATAGTTACTATTGCAATTGGAATTAGAATTGAAATCAAAATAGGAATTAAAATTATAAATAGAATTGGAATTAAAATTCAAAAGGTTTTTATAATAATTTATTACAATTGAACTAGAAATATTTAACTACAATGGACAGTAATTATAATTAGAATAATGAATATGAATTAGAAATAGAACTACAAAATGAGATTTATTTAACAAGTAGCAAACTTATTTTGTATACTTTCTTGTTTTTATTATCTTTGTTTAGGAGTCTTAAAAAATTTATTTGTCAAATATAGAAAAAGATGAGAATTTAACATTTTTTTAAAAATAATTAAAATAAAAAATAATTAGGCTTGAAATTAAAATATGATTACTTACAAATTATTAATGATAATATATATTTTTCCATTTTTCGGTAAAAATATTATATTTCAGAATGAATATCGATAATCACAACACAGTAGGTCCAATTGTTCACAGAATACTGACAATAAATTGTTATGTTTCAAACAGAGCAGCTTCCTTTCGTCAGTTGATAGAATTCTTGGGTTATTAACATGATACTGATAACCTATTATGACTTATCTTTCTGCGTTTCACAAACTTCCGATGGATAATAATGTGTATCTCGTACAAGAAGAATTTGCATTTTCTTTACGTTTGCCTACGTTTCATATTTACTCTTTTGTACATTTTATTCTGCAATTTACATTACAAACAATTCAGAGTTATATTTTTTATTATTTCGGTTCTGCTTGGTTTTATTAATAACAATTCATCAATGTCCAACTCTCTAAATCTGAATTAGTAAAAATGTTTGAATTTGAATTATTGACTGACGCTTTTTGCTGTTGAATTATAGTAAATAGCAAATAATGTTACTAATAAATAGTAAAAAGTAAAAGTCACTAATTTAAAAGCAAAAAGTCAGTCACTAATTGAAATTAGTAAATATTTTTACTAATGTAAATTTAGAGAGATGTTTTACAAAAATCGTTAATTAAAACTTTATAGTAAGTAACTAGACCTCATAATTAGTTTTAAAAAACTAGTATTAAAACACAATTTTTAAAATAAAATAAAATTAATTCTAAAACGGCTGTTTTCACGTGTCACGAAAATTAAACTCTTGGCAAGAACCCTGAGAAAGACCCAGAGAGCGATTGGACGATAAGAAGAGGGAGAGGGTAACAATACCCCTTCTCACTTGTGACCGTCCAATCGCTGACTCGGACTTTCTCACGGTCCGTGCCTTCGATATAATGGAACACTTAAACTTTTCATAACGTTAGCCGAATAGAAGAAACATTTCAAATTTGAGTCTACGTCTAGGAGAGTAAATCGAGTTTTATAAATAAATCTTCGAATTTTATTTATATTGTACAGAAGCAGGAACAATTTTCTCCGCAAAAATTCCTGCATATCAAGAAGAGAAGGCTCATCAGGAAGGGAAATACAAAGAATTAGAAGAAGAGGGGAAGAAAAAACAAATGATTCGCGAAGTGGCTTCTGGAAGGAAGTCTCTTTTCCTTGGAGTGCTTTCTTTTTGGGGAGCTCTGCAAGATAATGAATGCAATTACAGTTTTTGTTCTAGAAATTACGGCGGATGCGTGTCTGTGGCTGATTGCTAAGTCCGTTGGATGCATGTGGTCCGTAGAAAGATGCACAAACACACTCACACAAATCTGAAATATAAATACAAACGAATATTCCACTTGTATGTACATAGGGCAACGTTAAAGGACGCTTTGCGCGGTGCTTTTCGAGAAGAAGGAGAAGAAGAAGAAGAAGAAGAGGATCCATGAGAGAAACTGTGTTCGTGACTCCTGCTTTGTTGGTGCTTGTATTTGTTTGAGAGAATTTGAGCAGAGTGTGCGTATCGGTGCGTGAGGGACGGACCAGCGGCAAAAGGAGCCTACAAGGGCAGGGGACAAGGAGTAAGCTCTAATTGCATTCAATAAAGCAAATAATAGCAAGCTCATTAGAGCAGAAAGAGAAGTTGGCGAGTTGACCGCATATATACCGCTCGTATGCCAACCTGCCTACGCTCTTTTCTTTCTATCTTGGAGAAGAGAAGAGGAAAAAAAGAGCAACGGGAGAAGAGAAAAACGATTATGGAGAGAAAAAGAGGGATCCTCTCAAGAAACGCAGGGAGTTGCTGCGATTTTTTTTTATTATTTCCACTAATCAAAAGAGAAGCATTCAAATATTCATTCATACGTTTCATACCAAATTCATACCAAATTTCCAAATCCATAAAAAATTAGCTTTGTTTCTATTTTTTTTTATGGATTTGGCAAGATGACGATCGTGATTGGTTGAAGTACCATGATAACGTTTGTCATTGGTTTGAAAATATGATGATAAGAGTTCCGATTGGTTAGAAATCATAGCGTTTCGTTCTAGTATTTCTTAACCCTTTAAAGCCCGAATTATTTTCACCGATTCGATTTCAACCACACTTGGTATATAATGGTTTTTGGGGTCGCTGATTACGAATCTGAAGTCAAAATTGCAAAATTCAAAATGGCGGATCCAATATGGCGGACGAGAATTTAAAATTAAATAGGATTTACTTGAATATCGTTACCATTATTTTTTAATTTTCTGGCCTCCATATTGGATCCGCCATTTTGAATTTTGCAATTTTGACTTCATATTCGTAATCAGCGACCCCAAGAACACCTAAGTGACAAGTTTCATATAAATCAAATTATTTTTTATTTTTTCGTCCTCCATATTGGATCCGACATTTTTAATTTTGCAATTTTGACTTCATATTCGTAATCAGCGACCCCAAAAACACCTAAGTGAAAAGTTTCATATAAATCCCATTAATTTATATTTTTTTGTCCTCCATATTGGATCCGCCATTTTGAATTTTGCAATTTTAATTTCATATTCGTAATCAGCGACCCCAAGAACCCCCGAGTGACAAGTTTCATATAAATCCCATTAATTTATATTTTTTTGCCCTCCATATTGGATCCGCCATTTTGAATTTTGCAATTTTAATTTCATATTCGTAATCAGCGACCCCAAGAACCCCCGAGTGACAAGTTTCATATAAATCCCATTAATTTATATTTTTTTGCCCTCCATATTGGATCCGCCATTTTGAATTTTGCAATTTTAATTTCATATTCGTAATCAGCGACCCCAAGAAACCCCGAGTGACAAGTTTCATATAAATCCCATTATTTTTTATTTTTTCGTCCGCCATATTGGATCCGCCATTTTGAATTTTGCAATTTTGACTTCATATTCGTAATCAGCGACCCCAAAAACCCCCGAGTAACAAGTTTTTAACGAATCTGATTAATTTTTTTAAATTTTTTTGTCCGTCATAGGAGAAAATGTATCTTGACACTTTTTTTATTTATTATTATTTTATTTATTTATTATTATTTTTTACTTTTGTTTTTTTTAATTATCTGCTGGAAGAGTTTTACTAGAGCTAAGAATTTAAAATTTTTAGTAATATGTATTAGTTTCAAAGTTATGATGACTTTAATGCATTTGTGGTACAGCGTATGTACCACTGGGCGTTAAAGGGTTAAATGTTAGATGTAATGTAGATTCCTCTTCAGAATAACAAACAAAGTTTTCAAAGAGTCAAAACAATGAATTGTAAAACTTCTTCAAAAAAAAATTTTGTACCTCGGTAAGTACAGAAAATGTGAGAGTGGAAAGAAAAGTACTCTACTAATGTATTCCCTAAGATGGAATATTCATTATTCAGCGATAATTAATTGATGCCTGTAAATAACTGGTAGGGTGGGCATATAAATAAATGGTTCGTGTGAATCGAAATGGTAATGGGTGACTTTGATTGACCGTTTAAAATGGAATGAAGCAACCCGTTTTCCTTGGGGTAAAACTCTTCCTCCCCCTCGAATCCTTTTTATTCCTTAATAGAATCTTTCTTTTCTTCTTCTTATACACATACTTTTTTCTACTTTTTTAAAATTAATTATCTAAATTAGCGAAGTCTACTCATAGAATCTCTTTCTAACTTTCTTTCTCTGCATCCATCAAATGTTTGTCTCTCTTCCTTTAACTCAAAAATGTAATTGACACAAAAATTAAAAATAAAATAAAAAAATTTTTTTTCCCTGAAGTAGCATTTTTTGTTTTTTGATGAGATGAAAAATTGTGCCAAAAAGTTTTATAAACCAAAGCGAAAAACAATAGCTTTTCGCATTGGGTGCACAATGTATTAAAATGTGGTTGTACTTTTTTTTGAAAAGAATTGCATGCGGAAAAAATTATTTCACAAGTCATATTGTATTAATAGATAATTATCGTATTAAAATAATAACTAATTTGATAGCAATTATTTAGAATGAAACGATTACATTGAAAAACGAGTTTACATTAAAATTTAAAATATGCAAAAATATTTCAAAAAAAAAAATTTTTTTAATTGTCTCAGTCTCATTAATTTCATTTACGTGTTTCATTGACCGGTGCGGGGACACGACAAGAAGATCTGATTGAACCTGCTTGAACATTAAAAGTCCTTCCCCTTCCCCCCCCCCTCTCTCTCTCTCTTTCTCTACTGTCCCAGGTTGCCTTGCACTGTCTCATGTCTCGCATTCATGGCGCGGGAATTGCTTCAATGCTTCTGACATTATTAATTAGTCGATAGTGCGATTAGTGATGTCGAATGTCCTGTCACTGGCAGCAGGATCAGCAAAAGATTCCACAAACAGGTCTGACGTAAATTAGATTAGTGCGCGAGACTTTTATTTACATTATTCAGCTGCAGGGGAAGGCGATCCGGAATTTAATAAAAAGTACATTGAAAATTGAAGTACGTCGATTTTTTATTTTTACAGACACAATTTTTTTCACAAACGGTAAATTTTTTCTTTCGTTTCTGTGCGGTTTTTGGTACTTACCCACATAGCGGGTTAATTTTTGGGAAATTTTGGTTCTTCGGTTGTTACTTTTGTTTTCATGGTGCCTCCGAATGGTGACAAAAAAATTAATTTTTCATTAAATCCACTGATATAAATACAAAACCATTTTGTCTCAACCATGCAAATTGAAAGGTTTTGTATTTATCTCAGAGTGCTCTTATCAAACACTAATTTTTGTTGTCGCTATTCTTTAACCGTAGGATTCGATCATTAACAATACTTTGTCAAACTTTGTGCCATATTCTGCCATCCTTTACCCAGTTTGACCATTTTTCACCCATTTGATGATTGACTGGAGATTAATTCGAGTATTTGCTAACATCTTCCTTTTACTCCTGAAGCACTAATCACTATGGATTCGTGTCCACTAAACTCCAAAGTTTCTCCACAGCTAAAAGAAGAAAACAGAAAACCATTTCAGAATCAGAAACAACAGACTGTTTCTAGAATAATTTCTCCTCATCATAAATTTCCGTTGTGTTATTGTCGTTAATTTGACGATAAGATCGCGGATAGGAATAATCCCGCAGTGGGAAATATATGTTGCATGAGTATAAGAGTATAAGAAATATTCCATTTTCAGAATGTTGGATTGGGATAAAAGCCCAAGTG